CACACACACACACACACACACACTACACACATATTACACATCAACGACATTATACCTGCTACACACACATGCTACACAGATAAACATTTCAACCACAACATACACACCAGTCTTATTTTACTATCATTGAGATACTTTAATGTTATTGAGATACTTGATATTATTATTATTTGTGTTTTTATTATTTTAATATTTTTAATTAGTTTTTATTTAGTATTATCTGTTATTTTAATTTTACTTAAAAGTTTTAGTGATTTGTTGTTTTTTGTAACTGTTATTAGTATTTTTTTTTAAATGTTAATATAGGTTTTTTTTTAAATTAAATTAAAATTTTTTCAATTAATGTTTATTTTATTTCATGTAGCAAAATGTTTTCATGGTTTTATTTTAAGTAAACTACAATCATTGTTTTTTTTAGTATCATTAAGATGCTATTATGATTCTAATATTAATATTTTTAATTAGAGTTTATTTTCCTGTTTCATTTTAATTTAAAAAATAAAATATTTGTAATTTTGTTGTTTTTGTTGTTAAAATACATATCGATATAGTTTTTATGATTTTTTTATTTTAGTTTTTCAATTTCTTTATTTTATTTCAGTTAACATTTATTTTATTTAAAGTAACACATTTTTATGGTTTTATTTTTAGTAAACTATAATCAGTGTTATTTTAGTGTCACTGAGATACTATTATAGTTTTTATATTTTCAAATAGTTTTTATTTTTATGTTTTTCATTTTCATTTAGTTAAGATTTTAGTCATTTTTATGTATGTTTATATAGTTTTTATTATTTTTTAAATTAAGTTTTAGTTTTAGTTATTGTAGTACAGCAAGTTAAACTAAATTAGATTAGAAATTAGAAATGTTGCCTTGGCAACTAGCTGAAATAAAATATATATATTTTAAATATTTAAATTAATGTTTATTTTACTTCAGGCAACAGAAATGTGTTTTATGGCTTTAGTTTTAGTTTCAGTTAACTATAATAATAACCTTTTTACACACTACATTATGAACTTACACAAAGCTCCACATGACATTAAATTCATTAGATTCTTTTATGTGATAATTGCTGGATAATTTTATGCACATGATCACATCACAGAAGGTGTATTACTAGTATCTCATCTTAATATATATCCTAAACTGAACATCTCAGCATTGATGGCATCAGGAACACATTCATTATGACCAGCAGATGGCAGCATGTTGACAGGTTGATTGGTAAAAGCTTCATATGAGAAGAGATTTCCAATTCATTTTTAATATTAAAATAAAATGATACACAGCCTAATTAAGACGCTCTGATGCTGCTGTAATGTTGGTTGGTTTTGCACAATCCAAATTGTCAGATTATTGTCTGATGAATATGCTAACATAAAAAGCTAATATGCTAGTATTCATTTCCAAACATAACCATAGTGCAGTAGTTTTCAACCGGGGGCCTCAGCAAACCTCTAAATGATTTAAAATAAGCATTAAAGTAAACTTTCTTATTTCTTATTTTTATACATCCTTGTTGGTCCTAGAACAACATTTTTGTCAATGAGATGTTAGAAACAAGAAAAATAATTGGTTTAGATTTGGATTGAAGCTTGAAATACATAATTTGTGATTAATTTCCTAGGAAAGTTATGCAGTTGAGTCAGTTGTTAATGAATCTTAGACACAAAGACAGGTTGATAAAAGCTTCATATGAGAAGAGATTTCCAATTCATTTTTAATATTAAAATAAAATGATACACAGCCTAATTAAGACGCTCTGATGCTGCTGTAATGTTGTTGGTTTTGCACAATCCAAATTGTCAAATTATTGTCTGATGTATATGCTAACATAAAAAGCTAATATGCTAGTATTCATTTCCAAACATAACCATAGTGCAGTAGTTTTCAACCGGGGGCCTCAGCAAACCTCTAAATGATTTAAAATAAGCATTCAAGTAAACTTTTAAAAATGAAGTTATTTCTTATTTTTATACATCCTTGTTGGTCCTAGAACAACATTTTTGTCAATGAGATGTTAGAAACAAGAAAAATAATTGGTTTAGATTTGGATTGAAGCTTGAAATACATAATTTGTGATTAATTTCCTAGGAAAGTTATGCAGTTGAGTCAGTTGTTAATGAATCTTAGACACAAACAGCAGACTTTGATGTTGGATGGTCATGTAACGGCCCTTCCTATCAGGCCGAGCCCCTGTCCCTTCATGCAGAAGCAGTTCGGAGTGGTTTGGTCTCCTTTGCAGAGCGCCGCCTCAGTGCCGCACCTGCACAGGTTAGTGTTTAGCCCCGCCTCCGTCTGATCACGTGACCACTCAGACACACTCTCACTCTGTCCAATGAAAGCACTTTCCTGTCCTGAGTCCTAAACTTCACTGCAAAACATCCCGATGCACGACGAACACCTCCACCACCATCCTGACTAAATCCTCACTGACCTTAATTTAACTTAATTTATTTATTTTTTAGCTTGGTCAAGTTGGTCAGAACTGTTCCTCTGTGCTGCACCTGGCTCTCGCTTGCTACTGAAAACAAAAACAAATGTTGTTTGCAGAGTGGCACAAGGGAGATGGATGCAAAGGTTTCCTGCACTCATTCTCTTGTTTTTGTGTTTATTTCTCTCAGCTGTATGCCATCTCTGAGATCTCCACCAATCGCAGCCTAGTAGTATCCACATAGCAACACCATAGCAACCCCAAGAACAACCTAGTGACCACATAGCAACTCCAGAACACCCTAGCAACCACAAGGCAACACCCTAGAAACCCCATAACAACAGCATAGCAACAGCATAGCATCACCCTAGGCATCCCTAGACACCCTAGTATTCACATGGCAACACCCTAGAAACCTCGTAACAACACCATAGCAACAGCATAGCATCACCCTAGTATCCACATAGCAACACATGGCAACACCCTAGTGACCACATAGCGACTCCAGAACACCCTAGCAACCACATGGCAACACTCTAGAAACCACATAGCAACACTGTAGCAACCACATAGCAGCAGCGTAGCATCACCCTAGCCATCCCTAGAACACCCTAGTATCCACATAGCAACACTCTAAACACCACATAGCAACACCATAGCAACCATATAGCAACACCATAGAAACCCCCAAAACACCATAGTATCTGTATAGCAATGCCATAGCAACTTCTAGAAGAACCTAGTATAGAACCCACCAGAACACCCTAGTGACCAGACGACAACACTCTAGAAACCACATAGCAACAGTGTAGCATCACCCTAGTCATCCCTAGAACACCCTAGTATCCACATAGCAACCCCCAGAACACCTTAGTGACCACATAGCAACTCCATAACACCCTAGCAACTACATGGCAACACCCTAGAAACCCCATAACAACACCATAGCAACAGCATAGCATCACCCTAGGCAGCCCTAGAACACACTAGTATCCACATGGCAACACCCTAGAAACATCATAACAACACCATAGCAACAGCATAGCATCACCCTAGTATCCACATAGCAACACATGGCAACCCCCAGAACACCCTAGTGACCACATAGCGACTCCAGAACACCCTAGCAACCACATGGCAACACTCTAGAAACCACATAGCAACACTGTAGCAACCACATAGCAGCAGCGTAGCATCACCCTAGCCATCCCTAGAACACCCTAGTATCCACATAGCAACACCATAGCAACCCCCAGAACACCCTAGTGACCAGACAACAACACTCTAGAAATCACATAGCATCACCCTAGTCATCCAACACCCTAATATCCACATAGCAACACCACAGAAACCCCCAGAACACCCTAGTGAGCACATCATTCTGTGTTTGTGTGTGTTTCTCTCAGCTGTATGCCGTCTCTATGCGAGGTCTCCACCAATCGCAGCCTGGATAACCTGGACTGTCTGATGGGAGCGGATGAGGCGGGTCTGCAGCACTGGGACGCTGATGGGGGATTCGGTCAGCGCTGCTCTACACTGGGACGAGGCTCCACCATGGGCCAGGTCACAAACAACCCCCAGAACACCCTAGTGACCACATAGCAACTCCAGAACATTCTAGCATCACCATAGCAACACTCTAGAAACCACATAGCAACACCGTAGCAACCACATAGCAACACCGTAGCAACCACATAGCAACACTCTAGAAACCACAGCAGCAAAGCATCCTAGCAGAGTGTTTTGCTCTATCAACGCCACTCACATGTACTTCTACAGATGTTAAACCTCTTGTAAATGTGTGCGCTCTGCATCACAGAGCAAACGCTAAAATGTGTCAGAGAGGTTTTGCTGTTCACTTGACCTCAGGAACGGAGTGTTCCAGATTAAAATGCTGTAAGACATCCTTAAGCTAGTTTAAGGAGACACCGAGGGTGGGAAATCAGTTGGAGGGCATGTTTTCAGGAGGAGATACTCAAACGTTAGCTCTACTGATGGAGACATCAAGACTCCTGAAGCGAGACGAGGCTCCGAAACCTTTTTTTAAGAGGAAAGAGCATTGATCTGTTTTGCTGAATGGGATAATGTGCTGTGAAGACTGATGGATGGATGATTCAGAAGTTGTTTCTGAGATGCTGTTGGATGCTGGGATCAAAGGGAAAGAAGTCAGGAAAAATTAGGACAGCAGCTAATTTGCAGCACCTATAAGTATTTTTCCTGGGAGTTGGCTTGTGATTTCTAATTCAGTGAGCTCTAAAGGTGCAGTTTGAGGTGTTTTACTGTTAGTTTGCTTTTAATTTTTGGGGTTTACCCTTGACAAACTCACATAACCTCCTGTTCGGTTGTGTCTCTGCGAGAAGTGTCTCCTGCTGGACGAACAAACACAAACTCTCTCTTTACTCTTTGCTCTTAGGCTTTGAGAGAGTGTGACCCGTGATTGTGTTTTGTTTGCAGGCTAGTTTGGAAAGACCTAAAGATCCAACTGAATCATTTTGCCGTTGATTGACTCTCTGAGGCGTTTTCTGCATTCTGCCTGATGAATTTGGAGCAAAACAAAAGTGAAAATTATATTTAAGCAGAAGGAAAAGCAAAATTACTTGCATAGATATTAAAAACAAGGCTTTTTATTGAAGGCTTTTTTGTTGTTGTTTGCATTGTGTCATTATTTTCGTAATGCAGACATACAAATTTTACTTTTGTAAGTTTTAGTGGGGATTCTCATTAGATTCTAAATAAAAACGCTGCATCACAGAAACCTAAATTAATGTTGAAGCCGGACAAAAAATACTATAATGTTGTATAAATATTTTACTATTTAAATAACATATCTTTAGTTTTTATCCACAATACAGTATTTATTTTTTAAATATCTTAAGCAGTTCAAAACATATTATTAGACTTAAAACAGCATTAACTTTTTTCTTTTTTCCATATTATATTATATTATAAATATTTGAATAGCATTTCAATTAATATTTTTCTACAATTTTCCCAGCTGTAGGGGAGTTTTTTGAATGAGACTTTGTGGTGAAATATGGTCTAAATTACAAGTATTTTTTATTTTTTCCACAATACAGTATTTTGTTATTTAAAAAATGACAAACAGTAATGTCATGGTCCAAAACATATTATTAGACCTAAAACAGAATTAACTTGTCTTTAAGAAAAATACATTTTCTTTTTATATTATATTATATTATATTATATTTGAAATAGGTTTAATCACATTGTTTGCTAGACCGATACAAAACAATACAAACAATATTATTATTATATATATATATATAT